AGTGGGCAGTGTTGCGTCAGCGAAGTCACGTGACTAGTGTCACGCCACGTTTTCTAGAAATATCCTGTTCCCTCGTGAATGCCCTAGCATTTACTAGATTGGGGGTAGGCTGGTGTATATAAGATGTTCACAACGTGACAGGACAACAGTGTAATGAGTAATTGAATGTATGCGGACAAAATATATTTGGCCACGTGAGATATAGCGTTTATTATAGCGCGACTGTTGAAATTAAGTGTATCGTAAAGTTGTATTCGGAAAGAATAAACCAGTTTTATTAAGAAAGGACTTGAGTCGCTAAAGTTTCATCAGAACTTGAAGTTACGGAAAATCAACTAACGAACGGAGACGTAACAATATATATATATACAGGTTGAGTACGTTATATTAAAACGATTTTGGAGCATCACTACGTCATTACGGTGTTCATTGCAAGAGGTTCTGTCAAAAGGATGTCATATAAAAGTATCCCACTGCTACCTCCATTTTTTCCGTAACCCATTTAATGCACGAGAACAACGATTTCCCAATACTCATTTCAACAGCCTGATCGCACAAATTCATAGGTGCTGAATCTGGTTACTTGACCAATAAATCTTCTTATGAATAGCATGAATATCCATTTCATTCTCTAGCCAGTTTCGGTATGTGATGGTGAATGGATATGTCATGGAAGTAACTTATGTACACGTGACTTGTGTCGCTTTTCCAAATGGAGATATTTCTTAGTTATGTTGCATAACTTTGCTTGGGTCTTATGAGTGACTTTTGGCAATAGCCTTCGTGTTCGTGGATTCTCTGCACATTCGCTGCACATTGCTTACTACGGTTGGAGCACAACTTGTTGCAGATCTTTTTCTGGATATTCCTGGTGCCACATGTTGATCCATGTTCCTTTGCCATCCAGTGCTATAAAGTACAAGGTATATTCCCGTCTTGAAAATTCAAAATCCCCGTTCTGAACACTTCTTTTTCTGAGTGTATGAATAACTTGCGTCGGAAAGGGCTGTTAAATACATTTTCAATAGGCTATCACATTTCATGGCATCGCACTATTTACGATACGTCAAAGAACGTCAAAATGTAGTACTGAAATATACCGTTCCACCAAAACTTTATATCAGCTGTAGTTGTCACATGACTTGCTTATTTGCATATTCAACCCTTGATAACAACTGCCAAAAGTATGAACTATCGTAAGCGAAATTTCTGAATTTAATTTGTATATGTATTTCTTAATTGTCAAATAAAATCACTTACTAAATGGCAAAAAAATCTGCTTTGAAAACTTATTTTTCAAATGAATTATTTCTTTGGATCATGTTATACGTTTTCATGCTAAAAATAAACTAATAATATACTGTTCTGGTTAAAGATACTGTTACGTCTCCGTTTGTTAATTGATTTTCCGTAACTTCGTTCCAACGAAACTTAAGCGACACAAGTTC